TACTTGAGCTTCTTGCTGTTGCTGTTCGAGCTGCCGCTCGGCTCGATGATCTTCTGGTAGTGCGGGCCTTCAATCGACACATGTCCGTCAGACTCGACGAAGCCCTCTGTGAAGTTGGACGGGACCTTGCGGTTGACGACTGGCACAATCACCTTTTGTCCCGAGCCAGCATACTTCTCCTTGCCCACACACCCAGACGTGACGTTAATCGGCACCAGCGTCGCGTTGGGGGCCGTTGGCGCATTCTCCCAGTCAATCGAGATGAAAACGCGACTATCCGTACCGTTCGCGCCGCCGACGGTTCCCTTGTACTGCGACAGCTTCACCCACGGCTGCCACGGGCTGGCCTCCCAGGGGCACTCTTTGTTGCCACGACCAAAGACCTCAAAGTAGCGCGTGAGGGCGCCGTACGGGTCCAGCGGGGGCACGGTGAGGTCGTTGCCCGAGTTGGAGTGCCACTGGTCGTCTCCCTGGACGCTCGCGTTAGAGGCCTCGACGCCAACACCAATCTGCCCGCCCAACGAGGGAAACTGCGTCTGGACATAGCGCATGTCAGGGAGGGTGTTGCGCATGGGTTGTTGCCAGTAGTCATCGTAGCCAAGGTGGGTTTCTGCCTCGTGTTAGCGTTGTGCCCTCGAGCCGAGAGCGCCATGTACTCACGGTCCAGCATGTGTATCCATTTCCCGTCGAGCAACTCGTTCCACCTGTTGGTCAGCTCGGCATCGGCGTCGAGCAGGCCCCTGGATTCATCGATGACATTGTTGGCCAAATTCCGCTTCTGCCCAGCGTACAACTGGTTTTTCGCTCCATTGATTTGGATCTTGTGCAGGATCTCGCCGCCGGTAATGGGGTGCAGGATCATCTCGAAAAAGGCGGCACGGTACTCCTCGTCGAGGGCATCATACACCGCCTGAGCTTGCTTGTGCAGGGCGGCCCATTGTTCCAAGACTGCGTCTGCCTCATTGTAGTTGATGACGGAGTAGGTCTCGGGCTGAACCAGTTCAAACTTTCTGCGAGCGGCATACATGCCGTACTTGGTCAAGATGTCCGTGATCTCGGACGAGTGACCATCTCCAAACTCCCTTGTCGCCCAAGACTTGAGCCAGTCCCCAGTGCCGTCAACGCCCCATTTCTCTGTGTCGTACGCGAGGTCGAAGAAGTGGCTGATCGGAATCTCGAGGGGCTTAAGATCGCCGACGTTGACGATCCAAATCCGGCGGGCATCTCGCGCGTAAGCAAGTGACATCTGCTCCGCAGTCTTCTCCAGTTGGATCGTGTTGATCCATTTGTAGTCACGTGGGCCGCCGACGTAGTCGAAGTGGTAGTACAAGCCGGCGCCACCGCTACGGCTCGTCTCGTTCACCAGCGGCAGCCTTCGGACGTTGCCCCAGTTGTCGTCGGCCCAGAGTAGGGTAATGTCTTCGGGAACGTGGAGGCCTCTCTCCTGGTATGACTGGACCTCCTTGTAGAGACACCACAAGGACGGAACTTCGGCGGCAGACTCGATGCCGAGGCCTTCGGCAATCATCTTTTGCTGGTTCTGCACGAGTACCTCCAGCATCTCGATAATAGCTTCAACGCCCAAGTTGCCTTCGATGGCCGTGTCGCCCGTGCCACGCATGGCCATCGTCCACAGACTGTTACGGCTGTATGGCTTCGCACGCTGCACGCCGTACCGGAAGTATTCGTCAATCGTCTTGTTGTTTAGGTTGTACGCCCACGGGCCCTTGTAGAATGTCCCGAACTCGTTCTGTGCGCGCATCAAGGGCTCCGTGTGGGAACCGCCCAGAACGACTTCGTACGCATCGAGAAGCGGCTGATTGAAGGGGTCATCGACGTAAACCATGCTGCCCCAGACTGTTGGCCAGAGATAGTTGGCACGAAGACGGAGTAGAAGCTCGCCGACAAGGCTGTAGAAGTGGTGGTTGTATCCTGCGGCGCCATTCCAGGTGTCGTTCCATTGTGATCTGCCAATACATCAGTATTACGCTCTCGGTGAAGGAAGCTGTGTAACTCACGAGACCCAGCCGGACAATCCCGGCTGCTCATCATTGAGGAAGAACCCGCGGTACTTGACCGAAGGAGACCCTTGGACTTTGCCTTCGGGCAAGACATAAATCTCGGTGGTCCTCTTGGGAGGCACGTCAGCCCAGAAGTACCAGGGACTGACGCCAATTTGTTCGCTGATATCGTAAATGCCGTATATGGTACCTCGGGGGTCGCTACCAGCAATGACGAGGGCTCGGGGGCACCCAGGGACGGGGTTTTCAACCAACTGGCTCACAAAGGATTCCCATTGCCCCTCAATTTCACTCGTGTTGAGCTTTTGGGCTGCGATGAGGTCGTTGATGAACTTTGAATGGCCCACGGTACCAGCGATGACGACTGTGCTGCCCGGATTTGGATCGGTGTAGTTGGGGCCGGTGAAGGACTGTTCGTCTTCGACGCGGTACTGTAGTGGTCAGCATTGGGGCATCACTTGCATTAGAACCGCTACTCTCTCTACGATCCCTCAAGATAGAGGTCCCCGCCTTTGGACAGATCAGACCGTGAGACATGAATATTAGTACTTACAATAGTGTTATTGCTGACGTCCACCGGGGCAAAGGTGTAGGAAGCGGGCTCTGAGCCATTCACGCCATTGCTAAGGGTGTAAGTCGTGCCAGTGACGCGACCAAAGTCAAGCGCCAAGTCACCGGCAGCTCGAATGACACCCCAGTAATCATCGCTAGACACCAGGATCTGACCAGTCCCAACTTCCCCTCCTGCGATCTGGTAGTTGCCTGAGCCGCTCTCGAAGGAGATGATCTGTTTCTGTCCAAGTGCTAAGATCAGGGGTGTCAGACCCGAGAGCGTCACCAGTGTGATGGACCTCAAATTGACGAAGGCCATAACTGCGGGCTGGAAAAAGCTCAAGGGCAGATCCACCAAGTAAGACTGCGAGAGGTCAAGAGCAAGGTGACGACCGGAGGGGCACCAGGCATTGTCAACAGAGCACGAGCTGTACCCATTATATAACTACAAACCGGAATATCCGACCAAGTGGTCCCATCTACCACCCGGCCCAAGAACGGTTGAACTAAACCAGGATGACGCTTTCCGTGCATAGAGAGGTGGGAGCCCAGAATAATGACACCAATAGCCCATTGATCATTTCACCACCAATAATGGGACAGAAAGCACATGCAGGGACGCCTGGGCATACATACCACCAGCCAAGACCGGGGTCAAGATTCCTGGCCAACGGGTAGAGGAGCTATTTCTACCTCTCTTATGATAGGCGAGAGACAGAAAACGACCTTTTTTGGAGCCCCTGCCAGAAGAGACAAGCCATGGTTCCCTCGGTTGATTGTGCCGACCTACAAGCTGCTTCAGTTGGGCATCCCCGCACTCAACGCAGCACACTAGCTAGGTCTTCGAAGCGGGTGGCTTCCAAGTCTATTACCCCACATTGGTGAGCCACTCTAGCTCAAGCTACGAGCCGGCTACCGAAGAAGAAGCTTCTATTATAAGTGGAATCAAGGTTGGTTTTATGCTGTGTTACAGTCCGTACACCAAGTTGTCTCTCTCCAGAGTTGACATTGTCGAGGTGAGGTATGGCGTAAAGATTAATGCACAAACAATACATATTTCTTACTTGTATACCAATAAGACAAACGAAGTAGAGGAACCGATATGATAGCTACCCCAAGTGCGTTCCTTTTGGAGATCCAAAGCTTCGTCGATCTGGGTGTCCATGGCAGAAGAACGGCGGGGAAAATACCGCTAGTAGTATTGGAAGTGGAGAGGTCGTATTTAGCCGTAATATGCATATCCCCCACGTTGAATTTGCCTGATAGCGAAGACGAGTATGCCATCTCCCCATCACCGAGGTCGCCCAGGCCATGTTCATTTGGTTTCCGAATTATCCGGACGCCCCGGGGTGGCGTAGATGAGCCCATCATCCTAACAGATCCGGCGGCTTTATCCGGTCCCAATCATCTGGAGTTGGTAAGGACAATCGTAGGCTCACCAACCATTGAGACGCCAAGTAGATTTCATCAGGGCATTACTTGATGTTGAACATGAATAAAGACCCTGAATCTATAAGACTCAACGAACACCAGCTGGCTTGCAGACTACACACAGACATTATGACACTGGATCAAGCAACAACAGTGAGTTCGGGTAACAACCTTTGGTCGACCGGTACCAGATATGTATGAAGATGAAAGCCCCGCCAAGCTTTGCAGCTTGACCTTCATCGATACAACATGTTTATATTCGATGGAATTGTGTTGGCCCCTAATCAGTTTGCGGTTCAATTTGATTCTATGCTCGCTCGTTGTGGGTAGGGGAGGTGTTCAGAGTGTCGAAGTTCTAATCTTGTATTTGGCATTGTAGAAGACTAAGTACCATGCCGCCGATGGTCCTAACGTAATGAACAGCGACCATGCAGTGTCAACTAGCCACACGGCTAAGCTTGTATATACGAAGAATATCTCCTGGGTTATCAGAGATTGGGTTATCAGAGATGAGTCGTCGGAGAAGTGCAGATAGGAGGTATTCAGGCAAGGCATTATACTATGCCGTCAGACCAACATGAGTTTCGGTCGAGCTCAAATTCGAGCACGCTGTTCGTCTAGCCCACATCCTGCAGGACTTAAGCCAATATGGATGTGGCAGACAGTCAAGAGCTTGCCAATCTCAACAACTTCCAGTAAACTAAAAACATCACGAGCAAGTGGCAACTAGGGAGCGCAGAACCTGTCATATTGTTCAGCGCCACAGCCTACGATGAGTACAGTGACGGAGTTTTTCGTGCGTTTCTTACAAGTTATATACATCCCAAATCCTGCTGCGCCATTGAAACTCCGCTCCGGTGGGATGCCGTCGTCGTCGCCCCGAGTATAGAAAATCACGTCATTTTTGGTGGAAGCGTGTGGTTGTGGCACGCGCCGTTGGTTGAGCACGCCCAAGTGGCAACGCCTCTCGTCAATATTCAACTAGTCGAACATTGGCTAAGATGCAGGCGGCACGTAGGCGTATCTCGGTAATTGCGCCATGCGCTCCTCTGGGCTGACCTCTGTATCTGCGTAGAACATCCTGCCGTTCTTGTCCTTCTTCGACTTCTTGTCGCCAGCGGCCTCCTCTGCAGCCTCATCCTCTGGCTTCCTGGGCGCCTTGATGCCGGATTCAGCCCTACGAATGAGCTCGTCGATTTCGTCACCGTGCTGCGCCGCGCCAGAGACCAACTCATCGACAGTTGATGCTCCAGGATACCCAGGTGGCGGGGCGCCAGAGCCGTTCCAGAACTGCCCGCCATACTGAGGGGGCCGCTGAGGGAGACCGGGCATCGCTTGCAGGCCGCTTGTCGGTCTTGCGGGAAGAGATGACGGAGAGAAGCCGGAATAGTTGCCTTGGGGATAGCCTGGCTGCGGGAATGCAGGGGCGCCGGGCGCAGCACCAGGCGGGAAGCTCTGGTCGGGAGAAGCTCCGTAGGGCGCTTGCGGTGGGGGGTACGGGGAGTTGTTCTGGATTGATTGGTTAGCATTGAGCGCGCCCATAACCAGATACTGAGTATAGCTTACGAATGCACCCGGACTTGCGCTCGCGGGGGCGCCGTTGGCCGGGCTGCCGCTGGTGCCTGGGGTGTGCCCAGCGGCAACCCGTGCGCGGTGCTCGGCAAGACGGGCCTTCAACTCCTCAGGAGTTTCAATCTTGAGCTTCTTCCTCGGCTGCTTTGCCTGGCCCGGAAGAGGATTTCCCGTGGCAATGCGACGATCCTCCTGGGCCTGGTAGAAGTTCTGGATAATGCGATTCCTGTGCTGATCCAAAATGTCCTGGGGAATGCCCTCCATGCCAAAGATCTCGACGTCAAGGCCCTGTCGGTTCGGTAGCGCATTTTCAACCTGGGTGAGAGTTTCTTTGTGGACCTGGTTCAAATGGACGGAGAGACCTGAGCAGCAAAACACGTTAGCTTGCGATGGCACGACTAGGAAGGCGCATCGAGGACTACTGACCTCCAGCCGTGTTGAGTCGGCGACCGCATCTGTCGCACTTGAAGTGCTTGGCCTTCTGATGGGAAATAAGAAGCTTCAGATCCTCAAAGTCACGCTCGCCTGTAACAAAGTCAGCATGCGCATTCTGGATCGAATCAACACAGCAGGTGTAGGCATACAGTAGTAGCACCACGGTCGGGCGAGGACGTCTTCGACATCGGGATGACCGCGCTTCTTCTTGCCCATCGCGACAACGGCTTATCGGATGAGAGTGGCCGAACACGAGGCGGAAGCTGCTCCGTGGTAAGGATACGACAATTGAGGCTCGATAGCGCGAAGTGGGATATGGCGGAGAGAGTGACGTTCGCGAAGAGGTACCGTGGCCGGGGAAGGGATTTGACGCGAGCTTGCTGCCAACCAGCAATTCACTGCACCTTCCTGCAAGGAAACATGACTTGAGAGCCATTGGAAGCTAGCCGTTTACGGCCTAGTGGTGTCAGAAAGAGCTTCATTGGTAGATGCTACTGTGACGACCCACACAGTATCTATCCTCCCTGAGACACCCAAAACCAGCTGTTTGCACTGTACGCTTCAGGCCCGACTAACGGAGTGATCAACAGGTAACCAACCACCAAACGGCGGCTGCACAGTCATCTCACGACGACAACATATCGGGGCACCCGGCTCAGCGGCCACCGCTCATCTCTTAACAACAACAGCTCTTGCCCCCTGATCGAGCTGTCCAATCAGACAACCATTTGTCCAGTGCTTAAGGCTGTAATCGACCGAGCAATCTATACTAAAGCCGCTCTTCTGATTGTTGTCGAGAATCAACAGTCGTCCTGCATGCAGTCCAGCGTCAAGTCAAAAATTGATCCGATGTTGCACTTCATCATCAAAGTCTACGTCATTTGTTTTCCGGGAGCAAACGGCTGAGAACCGAGAAGACTGTCTTGTCAAGTCTCACAAGCGCTGAACACCTACACCGATCAAGGCGAAGAGAGCCCTTGAGTCAAGGCCAATATCCCTTGTCTGATGCCGTTCGTATGGGCCAAGAGTAAGCCTTAAACGACAAAATGACACCACTCATACCGGATGAAATTTGGATTGCGATTCTCTCCTATCTGCCCGACTTCAACTGTCTCAGAAACACAGCTCTCGTATCCCTAATACACCTTCGCTGCGCTCCCTCGGCATGCCGGCAAGTGCTCCTGAACGAAGTAGGCCACCGTACTCTCTCGGATGCCATCGCAGCACTCGAATCATCCAAATTCGACCCGAGAGACCTGAACCTGGTCGCCAACTTCAGTGACGAATACCTCAAGAGGCGAGCCCCTATCCCCCCCAAGATAAGCTTGGCGGATGGCGCCGCGCTGTCGGAGCTGCACAAGTGTGTAGGTCACCTGGGATCGAAGTTTCAAGATCTTGCACTGCAAAGTCTAGTGCAGGAGCAACGGGGTCTGGCCAACTATATGCATAACTGGCCTGAGGTGTCTGCCACGATCGAGAAACCTTCAGCTGCCGAAGCGGCTCGATTTCAGAGAGCACTATATCGTTTCGAGGTTTACTGTAATCTATTCAAGGACCCGGAAGTTGTACGGTTCAATCTGGATGTTGTCAACTTCCAACGAGCGCATTTCTTTGACTGCTTGTCGCCTTGGGAGATCGAACAGCTGGTCGCTATCAGAGACCTCCTCGCGGCGGTTGTCATCGGCCCTCGTGAGTTGCTGTTCTAGTTCCATCTTATGATTACTGACGCTGACTTCTCAATAGCGTTGCGCGCTCTTATGGAATTACGGAAGCTCGAAGCCCTCCAGGCGCACCACTGTGGCCCACGAAACGAAGCGCAGGTGGTGTACTGGACGCCTCCGATCCTGCCTCCCAACCTGGAGCGCAGCGACTGCCACATCAATCAGAACCAAGCGCGGCTACTGTGCTTTGGAGTCAGGTTCCTCTACAAAGTGTCCAAATCGCCGGCTACGCGATTCTACCAGCTCCTCTTGAACCTTCCGCAGCAGCCGCCCTACGCCAGCTACAACCGAGTGGGCGAGATCTACTCCTGGCTTACTGACGCCGTCGATGAATGTATCGAGTTGAGCAATCTAGAACTTCCTTTCAAGAAGGCCCTCTTGGATTTCACAGAGGGCGAGTACGAGGAACATGTACGTCGGTCCTTGGTAACCGGAGATGCCGATAAAGGGCCAGAAGAGGCCTGGTATTGGGCATACCAAACATTCCCCGGATCGACTTGCAATGACATGCGAATGATTAATTGCCGACTTTTTGGCTTGTTCTTCTGGGATTTGAGCCGTCTCAAGACCATCAACTTCTTTGCGCGCATCAACTTTTGGTCTTGGCGATGGGCGGGAGGCCGACAACCGGACTCTGACTGGGAAGTTGGTGCGCCGTATCGTCCAGCGTTCTTGCGATGACAAGTGCATTGAATCTGACCCGCGCAAGAGCCAGGCTGCAAAGTATGAGAGGAAGCAAGTTGTTTTTGGCTCAGTGCGAAGTCACATGACCTGTGCCTCAGTTGGGCCTGCACCGAACTACGGCACCACGCAGGGGCGACAATGAAATCAGCGTTGAATATCAGCTTCTTGAATCATACTGAAGAAACAACATCATTGCAAGTTTTTCGAAAAGCTCCAATGCAAACAAGGCATGATGGAAATCCTATCAAGGTCTCCCATCCCAGACAGAGGTTCCTTTGCATGGCCAGGGGCCGGCCCATACCCAGACCGATAGACAAGAGAAGCAAAGGAAAGGCAGAACGTGGTTCAAACACGTCTCAAAAGACTTTGAGGGACCAAAGAAACGATACCAGTAGTGTCCCAGGCACGAGGGAAGACAATGAAGAGACGGAACTCGAGACTTACAGCCAGCGCTATCTGACGATGCCCAGAAGCCTCCAACGACATCCAGCAACCTCTTGACAACTTCTCACAACCCTGTGAGCCATTGCATCAATTCCATGAGACGACAATATGAAGTTGGCGACAGAAAAGGTCCTGGACGGTAGCAGGAGGAAGACTGGCCTAGTGCTGTCTTGGGTACTGTGTCAGGGTCATTGGTACTCAACGGGAGGTGAGAGGAACCACAGCCGCTGATTGGCCAGGAGGAAGAGAGAGCACTCGGGAACGGGCACTCACATATAAAACCCTCGAGTATCCCACCACCCTCCTCTCTACAACCTCCCCATCTCCTCTTTGATTTTCCTAATCTCATCAACGAACCCTTCTCAGCACCCAAAATCCCCTTTTGACCATCACTTTCCATCACGTACAGGCCATTGGAGTCTATCAGACCTCATCAGACTCTTCTTCGGCCACTCATCACTACTGCACTGCCTCCCCGAGCCGAGAATAGAAGTCATCTCATCTTCCTCCCAACCCGTCTACCTCATCAATCCTCGCTCTACTCGATCGAAAACTTCAACTAACCCAGGCTTCGTCAAACATCTCTTCGATATCCCTTGCCAGTCCTGCCAAGGGGTACAATCATGGCTTCCATACCTTTAGTCTTTGATTCTGATGCGGGATGGACCCCATTGCCACGATCTAGATCACCAGTGAGCCCAGATTACCAGTATCACTCACAAATGTCACCACCGCGAGAGGCTACTTCCGCTCGCGGCTCCAAGCCTGGACGAGCCCCTCCAAGGGCACCTGGTCGCCTCTCACCAGCTTCCCAAAGCCAGGAGTCGATGCGGGCATTCTACCCAACTGACTACTCGTGCAACATCGTGGCTCGACACATGTTCGAGGAACAGCGGCCCAGCATATGCACCTCACCACAGGCGACACACAGGCCTCAGACGCATCACCAAAACCTCAGGTCCGGATCGCGGAAAAACAGACGCAGCGCGGACCACAGCACTCTTGTTGCAATCGGATCATGGAGTAGCCACAAAACCGGCCATGGAGATCGCCACGCTCTGTCCAACAGCAGGAACGAATCTACCCGGTACGAGAATGGGTTGTCTTACCAGCATGCGCCGTATGACGATTTCAATCTCTTCCCCGAGGAAGGCCACACCGATGACTACGAGGACGTCTCGGCCTACACCGAGCAGCCGTCGGCACCGCTGGCCCCCCGCATTCCCAGGTTCCGCACCCCCGACATCGCGCCGCTGTCCACAGACGTCCAATTCTTCCCCTGTCTAGGCGACGAGCCCGACGAGGATCGGATCAACGAGGCGTGGTACCTCGCCGGCCGTGACAGGGTCTTGTCTCAAAGTCAGTGCCACCCTCTTGCTTGACCCCGCGATGTCTTTTTCGCGGCGCATCTGCCTGGGGTGATCATAATTGCTGACATCGATTTGGCGCAGTGGAAGAAGCCATGGCTTACATGTCAATCGTAGGAGGGCGTTGATGCATACTAAGAGGCTGGGTCGCGATGCGGAGGTCGTTCCACGGGTGTTCGGTTATAAAGACGATGGTTTTCCCTGGCGTTGCGTGGCGTAATCAATTGAATCTCTCACGATGCGTCTGGCTTTTTGAAGGATGGATTAGGCTCTGAATAGTTGCTTGTGTTGGGTATTTGCGCTGAGACCATCGAACAGATTGAGAGATCAGGGATGATGACGGGTCAAAGTCATGAAGGTGTGTTGAGACAACCACTCTGGATTGGTTTTGCGCATTTGATGCTCCACTTCTTGAAGCCAAAGTGTATGACCGTGACAGTGATGTCTTCTGGCTCTGTTCGTGTTCATACGAAAGGCGGGAGGGAGGCGGCCAGAGGATAAGCCTTGAACAGACCGTCCAAGTACGCAGGCGTTGTAAGTCTAGCGTCATGCCGACGGTGGGCACTTGTAGACGACCCGGGTGAGCAGCACAATTATTTCTTGAAGACGAAGCACTGGGCGAACCGGCAGCATGGCCGCCTCGGGCGGGGAAGCTATTCTCGTCCAGAGGCTTCACATGTGACTCAAGAGTTCAAGAGAAGAGTAGAGGAAAGACGTAGGTGTTGGACGTTGAGGAAAGGAGGGCGAAGGAGAAGGGTGGCTTACATAAGAGAACTGATCCACATACTTGGGCAAGAAATGCCTGGTCAAAGCGCTTATCCCTCTCACCGAAGGCATCAATGCTCACCGAGCCGCCTTCAATTCACTCATCTTATGTACTACTAGTATGCCTATGTGGATATGCTAGATAGTCGGGCCACAGTCTGTAATGATTTTTTTCTTTACATTCGGAAAAACCCAGTACTTAATCTTACAGTTCGGGTTGTTTCTGTCGTTAGAACCTGCTGTGCTCTCCAAAAGAGCTGCCATCCCTTCGTATCAGCCATTAATCATCGAACAGGGTCTCACCGCTGGCGTCTCTTATTAGGAAAAAAAGTAAACTGGTCGAAATGATTCCCGCCAGGTAGACGCTTTGCGACATATGGTTCTAAAAGCCCGACTTCTGGGTCTACCTGGCGCCGTAGGCCCAGCGCTATGGTGGCCGGCAATCCCCAGACCGAGTACCCCCTTTGCATACTCTCCCGGACGCACACACGCAGGACGCTCGTAAAATTCTCTGCACTTGGTAGGTTCACGATGCCTATCTTCCAGAAGAATTTGCTGGAAGTTATCGATACTATGTAGGCGGCGGACTTCCGAGGATAAATGTAGAGCGGCGCCGGAAGGGGGCGCTCCGTGACGATCGAAGTGCTCGTCTCGAAGTTGAACTAGCGTCTTTTCTCTCGTAGGCCTAGTTCGTCTGGCAATCATGCAAAGACGCATTCCTGCTGCTGCTATTCTGGGTTGGCTGATACTGCTTTTAGCGTTGACGACAGCGCCTTTTGGGCGTGCTTCCGAGCCGTACTATAATCGGCCTCGGTATGGGTCCGTCAAAGCCGCAATGGGAACAGCAGAATGTTTGCCTAAGCTCTAGGCTTTCACGTCGATACAAGTCGAGGTTCTGGTGATACTCGCCGTCCTGCTCAACCGAATCAATGTTGAAGAAGCTCAACATCTGGATTGCAATACCCTTGAGGGTGTACGCCGGTGTGTAGCCTTCAGAGGTATTGAGGATAGATGCGCAGATGTAGCTGCCGTTCACATTGGGATGCTCCACGGCCGTGTTCATCATAATCTTGGGAGGAACCAAAGGGTAGCGATCGACGAATATATCGGTGGTTGGCGATAGGTAGAATTCCTGTCAGCGGATCGGGGGTATTGGATATACGACAAGAGTGCGCGCTGGACAACCGCCTGCCTCAGGTAGGTACCTGCCTGCCTGTCCAGGGGACTGCATGCACCTGGCGCTATTTCCCTCAAGACAGCAAGACTGAGGCAGCCGCATTGAAGGTAGACATGAGGGGAGGGGGAGGAGGAGGAGGAGGGAGGAGGAGGAGGAGGAGGGAGGAGGAGGAGGAGGAGGAGGAGGAGGAGGAGGAGGGAGTTGTAGTCGGCGTGCAACCTACGGATTCACATGGCAGTTGTTTCTGACAAACAATTGAGAGAGGAACCTTGAACCCTCCGTTTAGCTATTTGGCAGCTCCGGCTCAGAACGATTTCTGAGCCGATCTAAGGTATCTTGATATTGAACAAAGCAAACGCTCAGTCTACCATTGTACAGAACGCTTCGTTTGCCGGCGACCTCGGGGGCTCACGCTTAACTCCTAAACCAATGCACGTCTTGTTGGCGAAATCAAAATCGCCAACCAATGCCACAGAAACCCAAGAGGTGAAGTGAAGTAGATAGTCGCCGCTACCCCAAACGCCGCCCGTATGCAAATGTCACTCCTCTATTTCCGAACCCCCTTATCTCGTAAAACCCCATCACGCCTGTAGAGGAACTTGGCGCTTCGGCTGGAACCTTCTGAGCTTCATGAAGGTCAAATCGGGATCGAACTTCTTCGTCTTGGGGTTCCAGAAACCCCAGACATCAATCACCACTAGAGCTTTGGGCAATTCGCATTCAACGAACCCAGAGACGAGGACGCACCCACGCGGAGGGTATCGGTTCGGCGACCTCCACGTTTGCGATAGCTTCTTCCAGAACTCTCTTACTGGCCCCGCCGTGATATGCTTCATACCCTCAACCTGGGAAATGGCCGCGTCCCTGACGAAGTTGGTCTTGCCACCACTCTCAGGTTCATCCGTCTGTCGGGGATCCGCTGTTTTGCTAACGTTGTGAGAGGCATTCTCTGCCGGGGTGCCATCCGGAGTCTGTCTGTTGGCAGACGGCAGAGGCCCTTGGGTTTTCTGTTGTACGTTGCCACCTCGTATCGGCGGTAAAGGCTGGACGGGCTTGCTAGACTCGAAACCCAGTGCCCGGGATACGCCCGTAACGTGTTGCATAACCAGCGTCGATGCAAATGCCCATGTCGAAACAGCCATGGCCCGTGGCCAAAGCACCTTCTCTAATCGTTTGGCGGCAAATGAATCAACTTCTTGCCTGGACCAGTAGAGACCATCGCCTTGCACCAACAGTCTGTAGAGCCATGTTAATATTTTCTACGCAACAGTGAAGAAGCGGAGACGACCCACCCAGAGGAATAGAAGACTGGTGGTGGTCGGTAAGGGAAATCAATATCCAGCCAGTATCTTCTAATCTTCACCGAATTACCGCCGCTGGCTATGATTCTTGGGTTATGTTCGACAGCGGCCTTCACTTTTTGGGAGAGCTGACCTGAGGGCAATTCATCAGCAAACTCAACGTGAAACGGCGCTGCAAGAGATACTACTTACTGCGCATCTGCTTTTGGGCCTCTTTATCCTTGCTGAGCTCTTGAAATTGCCGCCACTCCGGGTCACTGCCTTTGTACGGTGGTTGATCGACGGATTTGGTTGTAAAAGGAAACGGGATAAACCACGGCTCCGCCTCCTCATCCATTTCTTCATCCAACGCCTTCTTTTCCGCCACTGAGAGGCTCTCGTATTCTCGATCTACATGTTGGAAAAAGGGATTCAAAACGGTTGACCAGTACACCTGCCAACAGACAAGCGATATGCCTGCACCGAGAAAGAATGTTCTTCAAAAGTTAGCAATGAAGCTGAAGCCTGTATAATGCTTTGCCTACGCACCTCGGTCTGAATCTAGGCCTAGATATCTTGACCTTCTGTATGATGACGGTTTGCCGGCCGGGAACCTTTGGCGCGATCGCCCGAGCAGCCAGAGTGCTCGCGCTTGTTGCACCCATGCGTGGTCGAAACAACCGCCACATCGTTGCCGAGAGCAGGCTCGCCGAACTTCGGTGGCCGGGTGGACGTAGGCGAAGGAACTTGATTTGATACAGCTGCGAGGGTTCGATGGCGGTAGATCAAACTCGAGATGCGCGTGGCGATGATGGTTGAAAATGGGCCGAGGTTGTTCTTAACGCCGGCGGAGGCAAGAAAGACGTCGTCAAAGAGGTAAACATGGACCGTCAAGGGTTCGAGCTTAAGGAATAGCCACCAAAAAAAAAGATGCACGAGCTACACAAGGCTGCCCTGAATGCCGGCGCCTTTGCTGTTACCCCCGTAGCTAGGGTTGAGTGTGTCTTGCTTGCTTGTATGGGGAATCTCGAGGACCCATGGAACGTTGGTCCGACGATTGGATGCGCTGTTTGAGGTGGCTCTTTGGGGGGCGAATCGACACACAGTGTCAACGGGGCCGCTTCGATAGCATGGCGCAATCAGTAGCTTAGCGCAGATATACTGTAGGGGCGCAATGTTGTCAGACAGGAGGCCACGTACAGTGTTGAAGGCAAAAAAACGGTACAGCAGCCCCCCGCCACCCCAAGCAAACAGTCACACAACCGTCGGAAAAACGCGTCAACCGAGCTCCGGGCACGGGACACGGGGAAATAAGTGGATTACACTCAAGAAGTGGAAACGTGCAGCACTAGCAGCACCACTCGCCGCAGCAGTGTGAGCTCGACTTCGCCGCTTGGAAAGTGTGAGAGAAAGAGCAGCAGCAGCATCACACAACCGCATCACGCACTCCCCCGCCCCTCCACATCGCCATCTCTCCGGATCCCATCCCCGAGCTCCATCCAGGCCAAAAGTTCCAATGAAGCTCTCCGTGGGGCTTGCGACTGCCCTGGCCGGCGTCGCGACTGCGCTCTCCTCCGACCAGCCCGCTGACGTATATCTCCTGCAATCCAAGCAGTCGTCAAGTTCCGATATCCCATCATTACCACGACAGGTTGCCCGTCTTATCCTGCTGCAGCGTCTATCCCCTGAGGGCCAGCATGCATCCTGGGACCTCCCCGAGTCTATCTCCAACGAGAAGGCAGTCACTTACCTGAACGAGTTTGGCAAGGCCCCCAAGGGCCTATTCAGCAATGCCGCCTCTACAAACCCGTCCCAGCTCGTCGTTATGTTGGAAGGAATCACTTCCGACCATGCAAAGTCGCTCCAGAAGTCGCTCGCTGGCTCTGGGCCCAGCTTCAGGGTTGGAGATGCCCCCTCGACTATCGCCAACGACCTGCTGCTGGCCAACGACTTCCCCTCTGTTGGCGTCACCTCCAAGAACTGTGCTTTCGATAAGGCTATCAACCCCTTTGCAGAGCAATGCTGGAGTGGCAAGTCATCAGTTGTCAGATACGATGTTAACAAGGTAAACACTTATCCCATCGACCGCGTCCTATGTCTCTTGGGTAACTGACGTTGACTCTTTCCCAGGACCCGTCTATCCTTTCCTCCCTTTCCGAGAGCGCTTCTCTACTGAAGCAGCTCGCTGCTAACGGCGAGATGGAAACGGTCGTCATCGCTATGCCTGAGTCGTCTCGCAACTCGCAGGTCCGCCACTGGTCCTCCAAGTCTGGGGAGCTTCGTCGCCGCAAAGTCGAGGTTGTTATGACCGAAACGGACGACCACGATAAGCCCGCCCCTACTAGTCCCGTTCAGAGCACCGCTCCGTTCCCCGGTCACATCAAGAGAGGAAGCATCAGATCATGCTACGATTCCCAGGATGCGTGCGACAAGGCCACCAACAAATGCTCGGGACACGGACAGTGCCTTAACAAATACGCCACACCCAACGGCAACGATCAGGGCACATGCTTCGCCTGCAAGTGTCTCAGTACCGAGAGTGAGTCTGGCAGCCGTACGCACTGGGGCGGCAGGGCCTGCCAGAAGATCGACGTTAGCGTTCCCTTCTGGCTGTTTGTTGGTTTCGGTATCGCCTTGGTTGGCCTGCTTACCGCCGCCATCGGTCTGCTCTTCAGCGTCGGTGAGGAGAAGCTTCCCGGTGTCATTGGTGCTGGAGTATCCAAGACGAAATAGGACCGTCGTTGATGTTCCACAAACAGGGCGGGCCTTGCCGTGGTGCAAGGCAAGAGTTGACCGTGCTTATAATCGGCATGTGGTAGTTTGTACCATAAGTGTATTCTCATGCGGCGTTGGCATTGGCAGGACATTTCTCTCTTTGATACGGAGAGGGTATTTCTTAGACAATCGAAAAAGGAATCGAAGCTATGATGACATGATTCTGGGTGAATCTCTAGGGTATCGAATTGTGAAATAATGTTTTTTTTCTTGTTTTTGCCGTTGCCTCTAACCCAGTTCCCCCACGTCGGGACGCTCATTCGGCGTGGTACCCAGACTTTCCAGGCCTCTCTCAGCCTTCAGCTCACTAGTTCCAGCATTCGTGATCTGCCTGGCGGTTGACTGGGTGGTTGATTCAGCCGACACCCCGTTCCCGAGTGCGGCGGTATATTTTTGCCCGGCCTCGTTAAGAAGCTGCTGAACCTCATCCTTTCTCGTCATGATGCCATCCTTCTCCTGTCTCAGCGCCTCAACGCGCCTCTTCTTCTCCGTCAGATCCAACTCCATGGCCCGCATCGTCGTCTGCAGTCTCGACAGGCAATCGGTGAGACTCGGGAGCGGTGTGATCTTGGGCGGGACCTGCAGCAGTTGTTCCGCAGGATTGCGCTCGGGCTTCTGAAGACCGTCCATCCCGGACCTCGTCTGCGCTGCCTCGAAAGCCGCACGTCTCTCCGCCTCCGACGCGTCGGACTCATCGTCCGAACCGCCCTCGGCCATTTGAATCTGTTCAGCCATCTCACGCCTCCGACGCACCTTCTCCTCTCTCTCGGCTTTTCTGCCCAGCGATAGGCCCCCGTCCTCGACAAAGTCGTCGAACCCTTCACCAAGGTCTTCGTCCTCGCGCACTAGGCGCGTGTCGTTCTTCTTTTTACGCAGAGACGTGCCGCCGACATCCTCATCGTCAAAGGATATGAAGTCGCCATCTTGTTGTTCATGCGCGAGCCTTGCCCGGCGTTGTTTCCTCTCCTGGATCTCGGCCTCGGTGAGGATGTTCGTTTGGTGCGGCCGGGACGCAAAGTCGCCCTCGTTGACGATCAATGCTCCTTCGAGTTCGGAGTCATCCAGAACCATGCCATCCTCATCCTGCATGCGCAGAGAGGTCAAGCTCTGCGGCGTGTTTGGTGTCGAGTTCTGTAGCTCGCTGAGGTATTCCTTGCTATACCTCGGGCGGTCCTCGTCCTCGTCGCGGAATGTGCGCATAGGCAACCTGTTCTTCAGAGCGCTGTTCTCGAGCGCCTGATAGCCCAGCGTTGACTTCTTTGGTGTCGTGTACTCGGTCATCGGCACATCATCGCCGTCACCTACATCAGCTCCGCCAAATGAGAGTCTGGAAGAGGATTTGCGCTTCTTCTGCTTCAGCGAGCTCGAACGGCTGACCGCGGGTCGAATCACCACCGGGCCATCGTCCTCGTCGTCATCTTGCGCGGGGACAGCTTTCGGTTTCGCAGAATCGCCAATCGCGACGCCGCCGTTCGAGTCGTCAGGCTCGTTAAAGTTGATGCTCTTGCGAAGACCAGATTGGCGAATGGGCTTTCTCGTAAACTTGACTGCCACTGGTGCAGCGTCTGGCATCCCATTAGCCTTGCGAACGACGGAATCAGCGCATAGTCTTTGGAGCGGAACAGTAGACTCACCATTGTTCACGGGCTCTTGGCCGGTTGGCGAGGACTTTCCAGTGTCATATTCGTCATCGTCAAGGACTTTTATGACTTTTGCTTTTCTTTTTGGTGTAAACGCGCTCATTTTGGACAGATGGTAGGTATTGAACGACCCTACGCGCCGTTGATAGCAGGCAGATCCGAAATCCATAAGGCGGATGCTGCGCCTTGGTTCGGTACGATGCGATAAGGCTCTTATCGCCACGTGACGCCACCCAAATTCAGATCCCCTCGGCCAGGCTGCAGACAGGTAGAATAGAGCTCTATCGCGTCCCAAAGCCAATTTCACGCGACATCATTATCTAACCAGCCACCCACCCGCCGAAGCGTCCCTTCACTCAACTCACATATAGACAAGATGGCGCCCGCACAGCCCGAGCTGAAGAAGGTACGGAAGCCCCGATTCCTGACGGACATACCAGAGTCTCCAGACTTGCTTGATGTACTGCCAAGAACAAAACGGATGGCCTGCAACTCCTATCCGAACATCGTTGCCCCTTCTGCTTCCGGTTCGAGCGTATAATGCTAACCAGTTATTTCATAGTATCTCGATAAGCGACTGTTTGTCCAACTCAATGGCAGCCGTAAGGTCATCGGTGTTCTCCGTGGTTACGATGTATGTGTGGTTGATGCAGAACTCTTCGGAAGAATCGAACATTGCTAACCTACGCCGCAGGTCTTCCTGAACATCGTTTTGGACGAGGCAGTCGAAGAGAAGGAAGGCGGCGAGAAGGTTCGGTTAGGCATGGTTGTATGTGTACCCTCAACTTGCTTGACGAACGTGCTGTCTAGAAGCTAACATGAGGTAGGTCATCCGTGGCAACTCAGTCGTCATGCTCGAGGCTCTCGAAAGAATTGGCGGTGACGATCGCAACCATCAGCGGTAAACGAAGAATCTTAGCCAGGAGGTCGAGTTCCGCAAGATCGCATCCCGGGGTTTACATGGCGTTATTACGGCAAAAAAGAACGATGCTTTTTTCCATTTTTTTGGTTCAAGACAGGATGGGGATGAAATATGCTAGATACCAGCAAAAGATTATGTCACCTTCGGACGGAACAACACGCCGCAGCTATGCAGACACATGGGGTGGATTTTGGGGCTCCCCTATTTTGCGACATCGACCCACGATCTCTCATCGTACCAGTCCATCTTGCGGCTGCCGTACTTGCGCACCCATCCCTTGATGCCGCCTTTGAGGATGACAGCTTGAATAGCAGCCTCGCCAATGTCGTCAAAGTAGTCCTGCAGCCAATTCGCAGACCGTGGACCACGACCATTACTGCTCCCTGGGCGGCTTCAGCAAGGGAAAGAAGGGGGCCGAAGGGGGTTTGCACAGTCTAGCGGACAGACAGACGGCGGAAAACTCACCGCAGTAGAATATAACACGCTTGACACCGGCTTGCTTGCACAGCTGATGAATAATTGGTCTCGTCTGATAGAGGGACTGGGCGGGAAAGTTGATAGACGTTGCGATTGTGCCACCCTCAAAGTCGTTGCGACGCACGTCGACGAGCAGAAAATGGCGGGGAGCGTCTCTTCCAGCCGCAGCTTGAGCCTCAAGCAACCCCATGACCTCGTCGGCCTCGATTTCGGGCGCCTTGGCCTTGGGTGCGGGAAAAGCTGCCCACCATGGCGGGGTTTCGGTTGATCCTGCGGTTTCAGCCATTGCGTGCTATCGAGGGACCCTGTTGCGGTGCAGCTCGGCCTAGCCCGCTCGTGAGGATGCAGCAGTTCCTAGCACTGGAAACTGAAGAATATGTCTGGGTAGAGGTGTGTGTGCCACTATAGCTGCGCTCCTCTCCTGCGGGCGTATGATTGCGGCCGCAAGGCTAGAGTAGTTACCTTTACCCCAGATTCTGGTTCGGATTAAAGCACAGATCGTAACAGATCAGAGAGGAGAAACGGTTCGTTCCCCTTCACCCAGAGTTTCGGCACTCTATAGCTGTGGAGATTTCCGCTCGGGGACCTTAGTCGCTCGAGGGCGCCAATTGGCTGCCAATGATGCCATCATGCCGAAGAACACTTCCTGCGGCTCTAACCCTTGTGCTATTGTTACCTTACCCCATTCAAAAGAGAATCAACTGCTGAAACTCTAAGAAACCCAAGTTGCTACCAGAAGACAACTGCTCGCTCAACTATCCCAAAAACTTCAAGTATGTAAATACCTTTGGTTTCCCCCGTTGAATCCCTTCTATTTCAATCACCACCACCCACCGCCGCCAGCCCGCCCACACCCCACCCATACGCCGAGATTGGGTGGTCGGCGTATCTCCTATCTCTTCGCTGGTCTTTCGAATTGGTTATCTCGCGCCAATTAGTGGACTTCGGCCCCTCTTGTTCGCCGAAGTGTCACCAGGTGGTTGCGGTATTTGTCCTTATCTCAACTCGCGTCAAGCTTCTTAAGCGCAAAGTTACGTTCCATTCATGAGGAAACAACACCTGCAGACAAATCCCAGGAACATTCCCACCCGAACCCACAGTTCGTGGGACTCACTGGATCAACGATCATCAGAGCCGGGCCGTGACCGGAGCGAGCGGGCTGGGCCTGCCCGCGGCCAAATAGTTCAGGATACCACGCCACGGAGTTGTGTCTACATTGTAATCCCTCTCCCGTCTGCCAAAAGGAACCCGAGTCTCGATAGGCTCCAGTGCCCCAGTGCGTCTTCTGCAAGTACTGCCAAAATGTAAGAAGCAGTATGCCAAGCACTGCAAGCGTAGCGTCTTGGCTTCCGCCCCTCGAATAAGATGTCCTCGGTTCCATCATACAGACATCACACCCGTCTATTTATTGCCAACTCATACCGAGGAATGTCTTTTCTGATGGCCTTCGAAGATTATGTACCATCTCACGCAAAGTCTCGAAAGAAAATACCGGCTGCAACCTCTTCGTTACGCCGAGTAAGCCGGATAAGTGGCATCTCATCCCGGTCCCATCCCCCCCTTCCTTTCTAGACCCAATATTTCCCACAAGGGCGCGAAATCCGAGGAAGGGCGCCGGCAAATACGGCGGATTAAAGGCCCTACAACTTTGCAAATCCCCGGTCTTCCCGACCCAATGCCCCGCAGGCAGGCCATCAAATGCCTTCTCCGCTGCAGCATCCGGAGGCCAAGTGAACGGGGTCGGTTCCTATCACGCCCTGCGAACGTGGTTGAAGCCACCATCATTTTTCTCTCGTCCTATCTCGACGCCTGCACTGCGCCCTCTCCACTGATAAGGATCAGTACCCAATGACCCGGGACTCGAGACCGGCGACGTCTGTACGTGAACGACGTCAGTATGCATGACAGCCACATAGTGAGCCACCAAGAGGGCTCGGTTTGACTCCTCGCACCTGCTTCATCCGGCATAGTATCACAAAGAAAAGTTTGGTGAAGTCCCCGATGGATGTCAGACTTGCTTACAAGAACTACCCTTGGCGTTGTATCTGCCGCGGTGCAACTGCAAGCGGGCCGCCGCTCGATGACCAATATTGTGATGTTCACGGATTAGGCATTCTGGGATCGAGTCTGCTTATGGCCACCGGTCGAGCCTTGGTCTGGACATCGATATCGGCATCCTAACTACAATGTACCCGCAGTAGCATGGTTGCCTTCGGCAACATCTCGCCCGTCCTCCTATAAAGTGATGGGGGCCCGTTCATAGGAAGTAAAAGGAGAAATCTAGAGACTCACCCTCACGCCAAGCTCACCCGGGTATCCTCCGTCTGATCCTCTTTCTTTACAATGGCCCGTTGGATCCTCTCTTTCGTTGCCGGAAGCGCCCTTGCGGCTGCTTCTGGCCTTCCCATGAAGCTGGAGACACGAAGCGCAGTCTCGTCGCGTGTTGCCAACGTCCACATCGGTCTCGAGGAGCCTGTGAACGAGACCGTCACCTTCACTTACGGGTCGTGCCGGGGTGTCTCACTAGACGATGCCCATCACACCATTTCCAAGACTGAGGTGCGCGACTCTCAGCGTCTCGTCTGGGTTCTACCAGAGGATGCATCGACCGACCAATGTATCTCTGCGTGGGGTGTTTCCGGCAAACTGTTGGGTCGAAGTGAGCCGCAGACGCTCCAGCACAAGTGGAAGCGCCGTGTCCAGAAGAGATGTAAGTCGACTCGCCGTCGTCAGGCACTGTTTGGTATACTAACGCAGAACAGCTATCCAAATGAACAATGACACCGGCATTGACACTCTTGGCCCCTGGTTCGAAGGCGTCAACCTGCTCAAGGACAAGGAGCCTGGCGTCGTTGATGTCGATGCTGCCAAGTCCAAGCACGTTGCCATTGTGGGTGCCGGCATGTCTGGTTTGATGAGCTACCTCGTTCTCTCCCAGGCCGGCATGACCAACATCAGCATCATTGAGGCTGGTCAGCGTCTCGGCGGTCGCGTCCACACTGAATACCTCACTGGTGGTCCCTTCGACTACTCCTACCAGGAGATGGGTCCCATGCGCTTCCCTGAGCACTACCGTGACCCGAAGACCAACACGACCTACAACATCACCGACCATCAGCTCGTCTTCCAGCTCGCGGCGGAGATGAACGAGCTCAACAACCACGACAAGAACCTGAGTGTCGACTTTATTCCCTGGATTCAGAGCGACATGAACGGTCTCTCATACAAGAACGGCATCAAGCTGGCCAATGGTCTGCCGCCGACCCTTGCACAGATCGCCGCCAACTCCTCTCTCGCGGTTGCCACTGTCGACGATGAGTCCACAAACACTCTCTCCGAGGAGCTTGACAAGTACCTCCCCGGCAGCGACTTCTCCGTCCGCATGGCCACAAACATGTTCAAAGCTCACCGTGAGTTCCTTGACTCGGGTCTCAAAGGCCTCGGAGGAGATGTTTGGTCCGAGTTTGGCTTCATGGTGCACTACCTGAAGGGCTCTCTCAACTCGACCGACGCTCTTGGTTACTACAGCGCCACCTCGTTCTGGGACACCCTCTACGAGGGCATGTACTTCGAAGCTGCGTCCTGGAGGACTATTGATGGTGGTCTCAGCCGCCTTCCCTCGTCTTTCCACCCCCACGTCGACAACATCACAACCATGAACCGTAAGATTGAGCGCATCCAATTCGACTCCGAGAACTCTCGCGTCAACCTCCAATGGCGCGAGTCATTCAAGAATCAGACCTTTGAGAGCGCCTCGTACGACTACGCCCTTCTGGCTGTTCCCTTCTCCATCATCCGCAAGTGGCGCCTCCCCTCGCTGCCCATGACCATCAGCAACGCCATCGAGGAGCTCCCTTACACTAGCGCCTGCAAGGTTGCTCTCGAGTTCTCGGAGCGCTTCTGGGAGCACTACGAAAACCCCATTATTGGCAGTTGCAGCACGACCTCCGACATCCCCGCCATCGGCTCGACCTGCTACCCCTCGTACAACATTAACGGCACCGGCCCGGCCACGATGCTGGCTTCTTACATTTCCGGTGACTGGGGTCACCGCTGGGCCTCCGTCCCAGAGGAGGAGCATGTGCAGTATGTTCTCGATGCCATGGTCGAGATTCACGGCGAGAACACTAGGGATCTCTACACCGGCAAGTACAACCGCCGCTGCTGGGTCCTCGACCCTCTCGAGAGTGCCAGCTGGGTGAGCCCAGTCGCTGGCCAGCACCAACTGTACATCCCCGAATACTTCAAGACATACGACAACGTGAGTATCCCCCTGCTGTTGGTGTTTAGTGTCCTGTTGCTAATGGCCAAAACTAGATGATCTTCATCGGAGAGCACACTTCCTACACACACGCTTGGATCGCATCGGCTCTTGAGTCCGGTATCCGTGGCTCCGTTCAGCTGCTTCTTGAGCTTGGTCTCGTCGATGAGGCCAAGGCTGCCGTCAATAAGTGGATGGCCAGATGGATCGACATTGTAAGTCGAAAGTCTCGACAAGGTGGGGCCAGGCCCGAGCTAACTTCTACTTCTAGTGATCCAAAATAATGATAATATTCAACGAAAGGGGTCCTGGCCGAATTAGGGTCGGTGCAAATAAGAAACGGCAGTACATGATACCTCACATATATTAGTATGACGACTTACGAATAATGAGAAGCCATCTTATTCGATAGCTAGCTTCCAGTATCAATATACATTGACATCGAAATGGTACACACTAGTCGATACGAGTACCAGATTGCTCACGTAACACTTCACTTGGCCGTGTACAGGTTTTACTGTTCAGACACTTTGTTCGAGCTGTAGAGGAGCCACTTGATCAGCATCAGCCTTGCAGGTATGATCATCGTCTAAAGTTGCGTCCCGCCATCGGACCGCTACAGGCAGCAGGGTCGGCTGAACCAGAAGATAGTCATTTGGCATCGCCAGAAAGCGTTGCATTTCCGCCGCTCCTGTCACGATCGTTCTTAAAAAGGACTGCCCTGAAGTAGTCGACTTTGACCTTTTTGGCGTTGGCGCGAGACTCTTTTCATGGCCCAACGCCCCAGCTACTATATAAGTTTTCGAGTGGGATAAGAGCAAAGGCAAATACGTCGGTCACGCAGTATAGTCGATTCTCTATCTACGTAACCTAAGGTCATGTCGAAATCAAGCCTATAAATTAGGCAAGGAGCTCGTTTTCTTCCCGCTGAAGCCTGCGCTCGCTTGTTTCGAAGAGCCGCGGAATACCGGACTGCGAGAACGGCACGTTTTCCTGCACGATCTTCGCCACACCCTTGGCTGTCAACAGGATGAACGACATGCCGTGCCCGTTGAAACCCGCACATATGTACTGACCCGGTTTAGATGGCACAGAGCCAGCATGGGGGAAGAGATCGTTGGTGTACTAGTCCCACCGAGTCAGCTATGCCTCGGATTCGTCCCCATATACGCAAAGCATTAGTGTATCGTGCAACTTACCCCCATGATTCCTGTCCAGATGCTGTCCACCTTGGCACCACTATCCTCCCACCCACGGAAATTCCTTTGCATGTAGTCGTCAAAGTAATGAGCCGCAGGTTCGATCAGCTTGGAGTCGTCCCAGACATTGTACCACTCCTCTACACGCGGGATGACCTCAACTCTGGCACCACCAACAACAATGCTACCATCTGGCCGCGTGACCTGGTAGTCGAAAAGGCCCGGTCCATGCCGCAGCGAGAAAGTCATTGGGAGATGAGGGTGCGCAGTGCCATCAGGAACGGCAATATGACTGCAGATGCCGCGGACTGGGATTATGCGATTCTTGTACTCTGGGAGTATTGTCGAGGTATAGCCGTTGGACGCGTAGAGCACAGTCTTTGCCCTAATCGTGCCTCTGGGTGTGGTGACGTTCCAGAAGCCGTTTTGTTGAGTCTCCGAGACATTGGTAACGGGCGTGTGGGTGTGCAGCTGGGCTCCCTTCTTGACAGCTTGCGACAGGAGGAAGAGAACCAGCTTGTATGGCCTGGGAGAAGTTAGGATCCGGTTCACTGTGATGCATCATTGGCAATTCGGATGAGGCTGTACCAAATTGAGCCTGCTTCGAAGGAAAAGGCAGCCGTTGCCCCTTTGACGCTTGAAAATGTTTCAGCAGCTTTTCCCTCGACATAGTGAATCAGCTTCGCGGTCGGCGATCCCCGTTGTAAAAGTTCATCAAGGCTGTCCTTCATCTGCTTTGCAAGACTTTCGTCTCTAACCACGGCCATTGAGGTGGTGATTCTGAAATCGCAATCGATTTTCTTGTCTCGAACCAAATCTCTTACAGCATGAAAATTGGCCAACTCAAAGAGAGCCACTTCATCCGCTGCCTCTTGGCCGAATTTCTTGATACGACTGGGCAAGCCAGCAAAGAGATCCGGTCTGACATGGCCACCTTCCACTGTTAGCTCAAGCTGGTTCGATCGATGCGAGACAGTTACCGTTACGAGCCGTTGCTCCGGAGCATGCTTCCCTGGCTTCGAGGACGGTGACGGTGGGACGCGAGGACTCTTCTACGTCGTCTAGCAGGTAGTAAGCTAGAGCAGCGCCCGCGTATCCGGCACCGATGATGACAACATCTTGTTCTGCGGGTAAGGTTTCAGAGCTTTGGTGGCTATCGAGAGGATGCAATTCCTGCCGCCAGTATGGCTTGATAGCGTTTGGTACAGGAACGGGATTGTCAAGCATTGTTGCGTTATTGCAAACAATGGAAGGTGCTCTTGCGGAGAACAGAACGAAACTCGGAAATGTAGTATGATATACGACGATGAGAATGTCTTGTCAATGAGTGAGGCGGCTGTCAATGTTCACCTGTACCTTTTCTGCGGACACAATCTCAGCGCGATAATGAAACAAAGACAATCAGCCAAAGTTTCAGGGCGTTCTGGTAAAAAGATAGCTACACGCCGAAAGACGCGGGGTCGTTGTTATCAGCCCCGATGCGGAGCCGATCTCGGGACTGACCGATTAAGACCTGGCCCGCGGTAAACCGGGTGCGCCGCGGTTTGATAGATGGCGATTCTGTTGCCTCGCCCTTTTCCAACGCTGCATCAAAAGACCGGGGTCACTGAACACGCGGAGCCGATATACGGTGTGCCATATTCGCCAGTTTCACACCGTCGACTCACTTGATACCTTTACTTCAATTTCACCATCTAACTCACTCGTTAGAGTGGCCTTTGACTCGATAAACATCTGCTTCAGCTGACTCGCGTCATCGTACGACTTGCATGTTATCCTTCATGGTACTGCATAGTGCTACGACATCGCCGGCGTAATTGAGAGAAGACAGGACCTACCCATTATCATACACTTGAAAAGACTAAATACTTACGGAGTAGAGTTGGTGGACTAGAAAGCCAACTAATGCGGGGAAGCGACTATGGCAACCACGTGTATAATCGAGGCTGCACGGGCTTGTCCTCACTGCCGTTATCTCGTACATTTCCATATGGTTTCGAGTGCATTGTCTCTCTTCAAATTTACCAAGATTCTAGCCTCAGTATTCCAACGCACTACTCAGATAATTGAGGCCCTCAACTGGCTGATCACTTTGCTCACGCGATTTGGTCGACTTGCGATAGTTTCGGGCTTCGCTGAGCTCTACTGTCGGGACTTTGTCCTTAATGACTCATGTTGTCATTTGTGAGCTCCGAGGAAGCCGAAGATCATTCATGATCCGCGTTACGATGCTCTTCATAGGAATATCAATGTCACATTCTCGTATAAACCGTTGGAACGCAACCTGGATACAGGCGTTTGAACATCGCCATTGTTGGAGAGATGCATCAAGGCGGCGTGCATCCTTTCGGAATGACGGGATACAAAACTGAACAATCTGGCATTCAAGGTGGTTTGTGCTGTTGAAAGCTTGGTGGTTATTAGGCTATCGATCAGCTCAGGTCGAGCTTCGCCCTGAAACTGTTCCTCAATGCTAACGTATGCGACGAGGCAAGAGTGTCGGAAACCTTGAGCAGAGATAATAGAAGTGTGACTGCAGTACAGTGATATGAAAAGCCAGTTACTAACAGCGGAGGATATCAATACGGTTGACATCCGCTCCGTGGTAACAGTCGTCTGCCCTCCGAGTCTTATCCGCACTGTAACCATGGAAAAGCACTGTACTACGAGCATCCTTGCCTGCTTCGTTTCCGTGCATCATCCCGTGAAAACTGTAGGTCTAGGAGGCCGCGTGGTTCGGAAGCATGGGCTATTTCAGGCGACCCAGATCACCGGCTGGCTGTTCGTTTCTCAGCTATTATCCCGCAACTGGGCAAATGTCGCTTGTCTAGACGAGCAAATTCACGAGAAGACGCAAGGAAAAAGGCAAAAAAAGATTGTCATCCTGGTTGGGACGGATGGATTCTGCGTGAATGACTGCTTGCCGAAATCAAGTTACTTATTATGTGTCGAGATGAATAGGTAATGGATGCATCAGGCATGTTGAAGCAATGACTAAATGAAATGGTCGCCATAATATTGATGGAAGGGCCCTCGCTCTGGGGGTCCGGTCAACTGTGGTAGCGCCAAAGAATATACGGGGAACAATTGATTAGCTTCTATGAGATCCTAGGGGGGAAAACATCCCAAAAATGACATGTCACGTCACGACCCTCAGTTTGCCTCGGCTCATTGAGCAATGAGGCTTAAGCGAAGAAGAATTGGCACATTTTCTGCCTCGTACGGAAAATGCCAGCCGAGGTCGTGCTCCTCTAGGTTCGATCAGCTTGTCCATCGGTGGCGGCACGAAGAGCATGTTGCAAGCCTACATACACGGTTACTTTATTAATTGAACGAATCATCAGTGGTCCATCGTGTACTGATCTTGATCAGTGAAGAGAACGCCCGATTGGGAATCTAACAACCGTGCGGGTCATTGCCACTATGTACTTTGATCTCCCGATTGTTTCCGATCCAGAGAAGTAGTAAGTTTGGGGGCGTAAGCGGGGTTTGTTTAGGATCATTGATGGGGCCACAACACGTTGCTGGAATCTCGTCCATCAACATGGCCAACAGCCGATGGCGTCTCGTTCCAGCTGTGCTGAAAAGCGAAAGGTGAACGGGGCGCACTTTGCCTGGATTCGGCCAGTCAGTAGTAAGAGAATTCAAACCCACCATCACTTGAAAGGAACTGGAACAATAATATTTGAATGTGATTTCACTGCTTTGCCGAGATGAACTGTTCTTTCTATATGCCATGAATTCCATATTACCCGTTGTTAGACTGAGAGCTAGAGAGAAAGTGGTTTCCCCCAACGAGCGGGTAGAAATTTGAAGGGAAAGGAGAATAAGCAGAAACATGAAAATTTCCTATTTTCCCCCATCGAATTTGGGAACGGAACTGTGCATGGGTAACTTTCATCGATGTGTGGTATCATGGGGCGGCCCATGGACCTGAAGCTGGACATCTCGGCAGCCATAAGCTCATCATACGAGTTTGTAACCGCAATTCGGCAATTCCCTGCCTGCGGTGGCATGTCGTCTTCCCCACTGAGCATCGCGTGTCACCGACGCTTATCCTGCTAGGGACAAGGTCGGGCCATACCGTCAAATTCGCCTTATTCGAATCTTCGAAAATATCCGTGTTTACCTAACCTTGACATAGAGTTCGATGCTGCGTTCTGTTAATAAAGTAATACTCAGTAAGAACTCCTGGAACACCCGACTTTCCACCGCAGGCCAAGTGAGACGCTCGAGCCACAGGCCTTTCCGAGCAGCCATGTCCATTGCAATGCGCATATTCATTGTTACTCTGCCCCTTTAGCATACTTGCAGAAGGATCCCGACTATTTTCGGCTCGGAGGCTGTCCCGCTGGACAGCCTTCGAATTCCCCCTCAGGGTCCAGTGAACAGCCCTGCCAATGTCCATGCCTCCCCCTTGTCGCCCCGGGTATGCACGGCATATACATAGTGAACCTCACTTTGTAATCTACAATCATATTGAACAGGGCTGAAGCCTACAACGCAGTTCAGTTTACCGCGAAAGTCCGTGATTCTGTTCCTCGAACTAACCGTAGCCTATGCCCAGCACTTCTCGATGTGGGTCTTACAGCCATGAGCCCATGCATGTATGACCCATGAGAGTTGTGTTCGGATGAGCAACCGGGTTGTCTTTTGCACTATGGTATAAACATCATACGATATTCGATCGTTGAGACGGCCGGCGCCTGAATCAGGGCATGCGGCCCCCTGAAAACTTTAGCCCACACAGCAACATTACACAACGAGGGGGAAAAGAGGATAAGGCAAGACTGCGGTCTGCCTATCGGTATGGCTGTAGACAATTTCACCTTTTACCGTATCCGGCCGGCTTTATATATCTTTCCCGTGAGGCCGAGCCTGACCCTCAAAGGGCTCTCCCTCTTCATGTTTTCCACGTTCTGCGGTCCAACCCTCGAAAACCTATCAGTCAGATCTTTGTCATTGTCCTTGGATCACGCAACTGTCTATTGCGATCATCTGATCTCCCGTCGCGCCCGGAAAACCCGAACACACCACAAACCCGAAGGCGTGATTTTATCATTGGCACCAAAACCGTTCTATATCAGTTGAGAGTTCCAAACTCATTAGCCAAAAGGCCAAAGAAAGGTCTTGTATTATCACAGTCATGGCCTTGACATACAAGCAATCACAGCTCGTCAGGGGCACGATCCTTGCTCTCCGCGAGCATGGCGAGACCATCACTTCCATATTCTACGCCAACATGCTCCGCGCCCATCCAGAACTTCATGACTACTTTAACAAGGTGAACCAGGCCAACGGCCGTCAACCTCGTGCCTTGACGGGTGTCATCCTGACGTTCGCATCCAACCTGAACAACATCAGCGAACTCATCCCGAAACTCGAGCGCATGTGCAATAAACATTGCTCCCTTGGTATCCAGCCTGAACAGTATGATATTGTCGGCAAGTACCTCATTCAGGCCTTCGGCCAGGTTCTTGGCCCAACCATGACACCAGAGATTCGTGAGGCATGGACAAAGGCCTACTGGATTCTGGCCAAGATGCTTATCAGCCGCGAGGCCCAGATGTACCGTGGATTCGACGAAGACAAGTGGACAGGGTGGCGCAAGTTTCGTATTGAGCGCAAGGTTGCCGAGACGGACAACATTTTCTCCTTTTATATGGTTCCTGCGGACGGCAAGCAACTCCCAGACTTCTATCCCGGCCAGTACACCTCGATTCGCATGAACATCCCGGCACTGGGACACTTGCAATCGCGGCAGTACTCGCTCAGTGACGCGCCGCGACCTGACTATTACCGCATCACCGTCAAACGAGATCAAGGCGTCAAAGTCGGCAAAGGTAGCGCTGTCATCGACCTCAACCCAGGCGTCTTTTCCAACTACCTCATCAACGATAAGAAGCCCGGCGATCTTGTCGAGCTGACGCACCCCACCGGTGACTTTTTCTTCGACACTAACGCCGCCGGTACCCAGCCTGTCGTTCTCATCTCCGCTGGCGTTGGCGCCACTCCTCTCATGTCCATCTGCAACACCATCGTCGACCGCCAGGCCGTCCGCCCCATCTCTTGGGTTCACTGCTCGGCCCGGACAGCACCTTTCGAGGACCATGTCCGCAGAATTGCGTCTAAGCGCGTCAATTTCAGTACCAAGTTCTTCCGCTCTCAGATTGCCGATGCCCAGGATGACGACTCGATGTCCTCGTCAAGCGACATCGGCCTTCGTATGGATCTCACCCGGATTGAACCCGCAGAACTCTATATTGGTCACGGTGGCGCCGAGTACTATATCTGCGGTCCTGAGATCTTTATGACCGAAATGTCACAGTACCTAGTCGACCAAGGCGTCGACTCTGCGAGAGTCAAGTTTGAACGATTTACGACGGGAGATCTGGAGTTCAAGCACTGAAAGAGTACACAAATATCAAGGATGAAAACGGTTATCGATGCGATGGGATTCCTGGAGACTATTCTTCTCCATTGGATGAACTTTATGAGTAGACAGGTTATCGGGGGAAACGGTTCAGCACCTATTAAAATAGCCATGCTGCTTTACTGCCTTTTTTTGTGTGATGAAGGGGTGGGAAAGGACCCGAGTAAGCATATTTTGGAGTTTGAAGGCAGTTATAGCACACGCGTCGTGATGTCATAAAACAATATCATTTGTCCTCTTGATGCTAGTTCCCAGTTTTCCCATCACTTCATGGAATATTATACGCAACAGTAATATCAGCAAGACTTCGATTACGCCATTGATAGTGCGCATCAGGGAGCACGCTGACACCTTTCCGCCCCTACTAAGAATAAATGTTCCCGTCTCATACTGTGATTCCACTTCATATCCACAAGAAATCTAGATGAAGGATGTGTAAAACAACTACGCAACTCCCAAGGTTTATCTCTTCCCCTATGGAACTTCTATCAGGGACCTTGGGCGAACTCCTAAATCGAGGAACCTTAGGGTATCTTGATGGATATTGACTCTAGCTTACACTTTCACATCAGTCCGATCTTTGATAAGTGGTTATCTTAGAAGCGTATACTTTCCAATAAAGTTAAGTTCTAGTGGCTCGTAATATAGATGTTATCACTCAGGCAGTCTCGTCCACTATATCGGTGAGCAGGCGAGTGGGGTTTATAAATTATGGGAGTTTAGCGCTCCGGGAAAGCACCCCCAAAGTGATCTTTGGCTAAGCTAAGGATGAAACTATGTTGTTAATAGTGTCAGACGCAGAATACTACGGCAAATAGCTATATATTTGGGTTCAGTTGCGAACAGGGGCGTGTGGAGAAACCCAGTAGTTTGGTGCCATTCCTTTCAAGAACCGTAAGAGCAACAAGTTTGGGACTTCGTTTCGTGGACGCTCATATTCAGGTCTCTAATCAGGATACAAGCAATGTGAGTTAGGCACCGTTGACGGGCCTCTCGCGACAAGACCTGGTCTGAATACTTGTCTAGCGCAAATGCCGACCGAGAATGCCGGGACGGCACGGCGCACACACCCACCGCTCCATTCTTTGAAAGGCTTCCGTGCCAGCTCATTCGCTAACTCCAAGTCTGTTTCTCAATATGGCCGCGCGTCCGACTTTTTTTCTCAAGGTTTCTCGTCAGACTGATGGACTATTTGGGAAACATAAGGTAGCATCTGCTCCGAAGCACGTGTTTCAGGACCTTGGAAAAGACACAGCTGGGTCTCACCGTCTCGACATCGTTGACATGAGAACCAGGGGCCTGGGCACCAAGTAACTTTAATGTAATGGAGATACTGGGGCATACATATGGTCAGTAGCTAGCCCCGGTCGTCGTTATTACCTTTGAAACACCCACCAGCTTCATATATTTCAGTTTAAAGTTCAAACCGGCGATTCTCGTCACAGTCTTGGGGAGCGCGAACAAGTGCCTTGGCATTCACTACGACTAGTTCGGATATGTTTCCAAATGATGATTTGCCAGACTGCAAGTTTTCTAGAAAGAAGATTACTTGGAAGCAGGAAATCTGGACCTCGTCCTTCAGCAAGTCCGACTATCTAAGAATAATGGTGTCCTATTAGCAATAAATCATACGCCGTATTCAGTGCTTGAGCGCCTGCGTCCAAAACAATGCGTATTCTTTACCTATAGAGCCGCGAGTTTGGGATTTGCCACAAGAATAGATATGGGTCAGACTTGCCGCCATCAAGGCATTGGCAAGGGAGATATTACTTATTTTGAGGAAGAGGACCTTGGCCATTCATACTTACGAATAAAGAAAAGTCATTAGAAAGAATTGGGGGTAGTGATATTGCATCCGGCTTAGGGAGAGGTGCAAATTGAAGGTGTAGTTATCAATCTGTTCAGGGTTGTTATTATCTATGGATTGCTCCATATTCTGCCAACTTCCCCCCTTTCGAACCGCACACTACTTGAAAAAGATTTGGATTTAACTGGTATTGATTCCAGTTACGACCTCTCGTTCTTTGGCGATTACACCCTTGCCCATGGTATTGTCAAAACATACAAGGACCTTGAGTTCAGTTATCGTTAATACAGACGCATCATTTTGTAACAAAATATAATGGCGAGTGACGATAAATCTAGGCATTTCCAAGCCTGCTGGGGAATAATATGTCCCCAAATGACAAAACCTGCTCCAATGTCATTTTTTGTATGAGTGGTAATTTCGCAGCCCGCGCATAGTATATCTACAACTCGCAAGTCTCAGCTCGCGTCATACATTGATGCAATATACTGTCCTTCATTGCCTTTGTGTTAGGTATATACTTGGTTTGATTCATCTTACTATGACGCTCTGTATATACACCCTTCCTACACTCATA